TGGTTAAACTAAGCGGGAATAGGTGCTGTCGTAGAGATACTCTAGATTGGTTAAACTAAGCGGGAATAGGTGCTGTCGTAGAGATACACGAGTTAGATGGGTTGCTATTTATTATTGGGTCTAGTTATTGTTTCGTCCAAGCGAGTCATATGTAAACATAACTGTCTGTTTCAGACAGCTGTAGTGACGTAATATGTAAGTCGTGTATAAAACCTCGTCCAGACCCCCCAAATTTAGTTAATATTCTTATGTCGTGTGATACGTTATGCCATCTTGCTGATTTTCATTCATTATGGTTCGCTTTGTGTTGCAGCTATGATCAGCGTCGTGTGGGTGATAATAGGATTTGTGCTAGCCCTCCTGATGGCGTACATGTTATTGGACACTGTTGGACTCTAAGCTGTGTTACAGCCTGCCCTGTATGCAGCAGGGATGACGGGTAATGCGAATATATTTACACGAGGGTCCATTAATGGGTATAATCTCTTGAGATCATTTTTTGAAAGGGTTTTTGTTTAGCATAATAAAATCAATCGATGGTATCATTCCGTGCCAAGATCACTGCAGTTCCCCCTTAGCGATCATGGTGGAGGTTTAGCTGTGAAGTTCTATCATGTCTACATTAACAAAAGTAAATTTTGTTTAATTTTGTACCGGAATCGTGTTTTCTAATTGGTAGTACTTGAATGAGCAAGCATAAACATGTAAAAGTTAAACTTTCAAGCTCTTACCACAGTTTAATATTTGCTACTAATTGCACAATGAAATACAAGGTCCAGTAAAGTGAGATGATGCTCATGTTTGATGATGGTGCAAGGATATTATGCTATCATAATAATTGATGTATACATAGAAAGCTGTATATATGCGTGCACGTATTTTCGAATTTGCAATGTGTTTGCAGACATGCTGTGAATATTCAAACACATTTGATATCTACATACATGTGGCTTTCATGGGCAACAGTAGTACAGTGGAATATTTCATAACTTGGTTTTTCTGCAAGTTTCTGTTTTATGGGCTAGTATAGTATAAACCTGATACAGCTAAACTTTATGATCTGGCATTTCATGATCCGAAAAGGGATAATAGAATGATATGTTGGAATGGCAGATACTTTGTTATTTACACACTTATTTGTTGTTGCTTATTTTTGAAATATTCACAAGTATTGTGTGATCTCCCATAATCTGACGTAAATCATATTATGAGGATACCAAGTGATTATAAACTGTATCGGTACAAAGTGTCGAAGAACCAAATTATTTGTTCCAGTGGTGGAAACACAGTGCTATAGAATTATAATTAAAATACCTGGTTTGTATAATTTATAAAAAGTAATAAAAGAAAAAGTATTTATTTATGGTGAAATCATGCCTACGCGTCTTCTCTGACGTCATTGCGCAATCAAGTTGAATTGTCTAGGGATGAAGGTTGGAGCTTGTTTTATTTAAAGCCAGGTGATAAAAATCATGGAACTAGCTATCATACACTGTCACATTGACAGTGCAGACGGTAGCAGAAACTAGCATGATACTAGCCTGAACCCCACATCTCATCCCCCTCTCTTTTCCTCCCCATCTACCTCTCACCAGCTGTCCATCCATCCAACCACTCGCCCAACCATCTATATCTGTGTGCCTGTATGTCCGTCTTTTTTTTCTCTGTCTATATATTTATCCATCCATCCATCCATCCACCCATCTAACTATATCTATATATATATATATATATAGTTGTGCCTCATACATATGCGTGAATATAGCAATCCAATATTTATCAACTCTTCAGTAAATGCCTACTGTAAATTCGGTTATATGCGTGCAATTTCACGATGAAACTTGTATCATTTGGAATATAAAACATAAAAGGTATTATTCCAATATATTTCGTAACATATTTATATTGCATAAACTTAATATAAACTATCATACAGAAGTGAAATGGACGGATCGGAAGAACACATTTATCATTGGTCAGCATTTGACTGAAGTACATGGATGCATAGATCATATATTCCACATGTGAATAGTTGCCATAAATCGGTGACACCCACTAATAGTAGAAGCCAACACAAGTCTAACAAAGCATCGCGTACCAACACACGATAAAAACGACATTTCACAATATCACGGTGAAATTTTTGCAGATAATACATGCACACAATTTAGAGATTTTTAGTGATGCACAAATCGTATCCAAGTTGTCTGTACCTACATCTATTTGCTTTCTAACTCTAAACAGATTTACAGACCAGTGGTAGAACGCCTTATTACTTACAATAAAATTAGTAATGACTATATAACATCCAAATATGTGCACCAGAATATAGCAATTGTTACCAAATATATGAATAAAATGTTAATCATAAGTTTAACCCTAAATGGTACTACAGTAAGTAGCTACCCACGAATTATAATATAAACATCATAAAGAATCACAGTATTCCTCGTTGGCTAGCATAGAATACAGTACAACTGAAAGGAAAATTTGACATGACACATTGTGCATAGAAATAATGTTAATAAGGCACAGAATAACTCTGTACAAAACCGATGCTGAATTTAGAACTAGAAAGGGCAGTTGTCGCCAATACAACTACATGTATCCCCCGTGATCTAGTATGAATGAAATATCTGTGTAAAGACGTAGAAGGTAGGTAAAGTTAAATAAGTCACAAAGACAAAGGTTTGTTACACAACTCATCTGCCTGAGATCTGCAAGTATGTTAAAATTGGTTGCTTAGAGGTTTTGGTACGCGACACACCTTCTCCCCAAGATGTGTCAGTACACGAAGTTTGCTCGTGCTAGGTTAATTAGGGGCCGAGTTATAGAGCGGAAGGGAAATATGATGATGGTCAAGGTCAATGTCAAATAAAGTTTGCAGTGACCTGGTTTTGGTACGCGACACACCTTCTCCCCAAGATGTGTAAGTATACCAAGTTTGGTCGCACTATGTCAATTAGGGGCAAGTTATAGAGCGGAAGGGAAATATAATCAAGGTCAAGGTCAAGGTCAAATAAAAGCCGCAGTGACGTGGTTTTGGTACGCGACACACATTCTCCCCAAGATGTGTAAGTATACCAAGTTTGGTAGCGCTAGGTCAATTAGGGGCCGAGTTATAGAGCGGAAGGGAAATATAATCAAGGTCAAGGTCAAGGTCAAATAAAAGCCGCAGTGACGTGGTTTTGGTACGCGACACACATTCTCCCCAAGATGTGTAAGTATACCAAGTTTGGTCGCGCTAGGTCAATTAGGGGTCGAGTTATAGAGCGGAAGAGAAAGTGTCTGCTGCGGCGGCGGCGGCTGGACAGACATGAAACCATAGTATCCCCGCCGACTTCGTCGCGGGGGATACAATTAGAGATCATTTCCAGATATAAGGCATCGGGACTCCAAAAGAAAGATGCATATATGGAATAAATGCTAACACGTTTGTAAATTTATGGTAAAGCACTCCAGATTTGGCATTCTGGATTCATGACACTGTGATGTAGGTTGCAAAAGAGCATGTATGTTATTATGCCCAACGTCATGTATATATGTTCTATGTATCAAGAGTACATAATAGAGATGTGCTCTATCATAGATAGATATAGATATAGATATAGATATAGATGTGCTCTATCTCTATTATGTACTCTTGATATGTATATAACATGTATAATGGGTATATCAACGTCATGGGTATATAATTATACATATACATATAGTATCAGAAGTGTATAATGACACATAGTGTATTTGTCATTATACCCTCCTGTATTGTATACTGTATAGCATAGCATATATAGCACAGCATACCATAGCATAGTATAGTATATACATTCTAGTCTAGTTTACTCTAGTATATAGTTTAGTACAGTACAGTACAGTATAGTACAGTACAGTACAGTACAGTATAGTACAGTACAGTACAGTGCATTATAGTACATTGCATTACAGTACAGTATAGCTACTGTCACTTAGATTGTGAAAATATTCATCCTGTCAACCCAGGCTATGATAGCACCCATGCTGTCACCCATGCTGTGACACTACTGTTCATGCTCTCACAATTAGCTGTGTCTCTGTTACAGAGGGTGTGAGCTGCATCCCATCACGCATGCTGTGATCTGTGCTGACGACTACCGCCCACATCTGACGCCGTCTCTCTGTTCGACTCCACGTTCCCAGACCCACGCAGTGTCTCGTCATAAATGAACGACTGGCTGGAATCAGGCCTGGAAGATATGAAGCAATGTGCAGTATAACAGCTCAAAACTGGCCAGCTCACATCACGTACCAGGGCCGTAGCCGTAGCTAATTGCTTGAGAGGGGGCAATATTTTGTAATGCTATTGAGTAATGGCAAGGTAGGCCTGCAAATCCCAATCGACATGACGCATTACATTTATTTTTACAATAGTTTACATTTATTAGATTTCTACTCAACTTTTCTACAGAAACTTGGGGCACGTGCGCCACCCTTATGCCGCAAATGGATTATAGGGACTATTAGTGTTGATTGTAATTTGTTAAAGGGATCGTTTACTCTAGGTTCTAGGGTTATTTTCAGTTAATTTAGGTTAAAAATACGCTGCATAAAAAGTTTC